TCCCCAGGCTTTCTTATTTTTCTTTGTGGGGGGCCTTTAGTTCATCTGGGCTTTTCCTCAGAAGATTAATATCTATCTGAAAATGAGGTGCCTAGGAATAGGACATGACATCCTGCTGGGGTCTGACTGTACTCTGCTCAGGACATGATTCTCTTATTAATGTAGCTCAGTATAGTACTATTTAAATATCAATCACCACATAATACTGGCTCACACCAAACTCGCCAGAAAACCAACCCGAGTCTTTTTCATGATACCAAGGGTCTTCCGTCTTCCATTTATGTCTGTCTTTTTCTTCTTCCTCTTCTTCTTCTTTTGGTTGAATGCAGGAGTTTTTAAGTTTATGTTCATTGTATTTCATGCCATTATTTTATCCTATCTTTCTAGGCCATCAAGAGGCTTTTGAAGTGTTTTTTTTTTTTTAATTACCTAGCTTGTTAAATACTCCTTTCATTAGCTATGTGTCATTTGCAAATTTAATGACCATTCTATTTATATCTTTTTCCATTGATAGAAATGTTAAGAAAAGGGCACCTGGGTGGCTCAGTTGGTTAAGCATCTGCCTTTGGCTCAGGTCATGATCCCAGGGTCCGGGGATGGATTCCCACATTGGGCTCCTTGCTCAGTGGGGAGCCTGCTCTCTCTCTGCCTGCCACTCCCCACTGCTTGTATACTACCCCCCACTCCCCCCACCCAGCTGCCATGTCAAATAAATAAATAAATGAAATGTTAAAAAAGAAGTAAACAGGGATCCTGCTTTAGGTTCCACTTATCTTTCTCTCCCTTGACTTAAAGAGTTTTTGAGGTACTATTAAACCTGTTGCTGAAAATCAGATACATAAAGTCTGTGACATCACTCAGCTAGTAAATGATACAAAATGGATATAACGACAGCTGGTGAAATTTCTTCTTTGTGAAACTTTGTTGCTTGTGATTCTGATTTCCTTCTAGAAGGACTCAGAAAGGGAGCAATCCACTCTAAAATTTTGATGTTGGCTGACAGTGATCACATTTTTATTTCTAAATAAACATATTTCTTCCATTCCCTTTAGAAAGATCACACTTGTCCTTGACGAGGTAGTCTTTCTTCCATCCTTTTTCAAGCATTGCTCATCAAAGAGCCCATGTGAAGTCCTATTATTTATTTAGCTCCATCTCCTTACCCTTCTCTGATAGGATCGGTTTCTGATCAGCAGCTGATCCAACAAAGCGATAACTTGGGAGCATCCATCTCTAGGGGGTGTCGGACCTCACTAGAGTGCGCGAGGGGATCCGGCTGAAGTTCAGTCTGTCCTTACAGGTGAATATTTACAGAGCTGGTGAGTGCATATTGGCCGGTTCTCACTGAAGTGAGTGTCGCTTTCAAAGGGGAACTTAAAAAATGTTTCTCACCAATCCGGCTTCTACTAAATGGCAAAATATTTGAGGAATATTCGCCTCAGGAAGTGGCCAATGGTTAGCCTCCCCAGGTGCCTACAAGTCTTTGTGGCCCTCACTATGATTCCTTTGACTGTATTAACAGAATTTGTCTTCAGGGTATCAGCTCCCCTCCCTGCTTCTTCATCCTTCTGAAAGAGCAGGTGTTCTCAGGAAGCAACGCATAACTCTTGGTGTCACACTCCTCTCAGTTCAAATCCCACCTCCACCAAAGACCAACTGGCGGACTGGAAGCCAGTGGTTCTCAGCTGGTGTTGACTTGGCCCTGCTGGGGACTTGTGGCAGTGTCTGGAGACATTTTTGGCTGTCGCAGCTGAGGGATGCTCCTTGCATAAGTTGGTAGAGCCCGGGGATGCTGCAACTGTCCCATGACGCATGGGACAGCCCCCCTCCCGCCCGCAAGGAACTGTCTGACCCAAAATGGTAACAGTGCGGTGCTGGGAAATTCTGCTTCAAGGAAATAGTGTAACCTTTCTCAACCATGGTCCCTTCCTCCGAACAATGAGGGTAACAGAGGTCTGGGTGACACTGGGGCAATTACACAGAGGATTCTGCTTACAACACAGACCATAATGACTGCACAGATGGCATCAACAAAAGGCAATTTTTTTCTTTCTTTGTGTTGTGTTGGGTACTTCCTAAGATGTTATTAGCTTAATACTAAACGAGTAGTTCATTTACTCTGTGAATAATTTTCTGAGGACTTTCTATATGCTAGGCACTGATCTGGCTGCTACAGATTGATTAGTTAAAAACAAACAAACAAACCAACAAAAACAGTCTGTGAGAATCCATCCCTCGGGGGTTTCAAGGAACGTACCTAAGGGTTCAAAGCTAATGAGAGGCAAGGCCTGGATTCAAATAAAACCAGTGACTGTGGACCAATGCTGTGTCCCCCGCAAATCCTGTGTTGAAATCCTAACCCCCGATGTGATGACATTAGGAGGTGGGGACTTTGGGAGGTGATTAGGTCATGATCAGGGAGCCCCCATGAATGACATTAGCGCCCTTGTAAGAAAGGACAGGAGGGAGCTTGCTTCCTTTCCCTCCACTGCATGTGGACACATGGAGCAGACGGCCACCTACCAACCACGGAGAGGGGCTCAGCCAGACACCTGATCTGCTGGCTCTGGACTTCCCAGCCTTCAGAACCACAAGAAATGTCTGTGGCCTACGCCTCCCAGTCTGTGGTATTCTGGAACTAAGACATCAGCTCTGCCTGTTTCCAAAGCCTACATTCTCTGTACTCCATTATTATTGGACACCTGCTTTCAGAAACACCAGACTACAAGGTGTCTGAGAACCGCAGATCTTGCCTCCGTGCTGATTTCCTTTGACTGTATTAGCATCGTCATCCCACTGTCTCCCCTTTTCAATGGCATGCCTTCTGTTTCTTTCCCCCTTTACTCTGTATTAATTCAACAAATGGTTCTTGAGCGCTTGCTCCGTTAGGAGACAGTGGGATGACAAGTCACTGCCTTGGTCCACATGGAGCTCCTGGGCTGGCATAGACAAGAGTCAGTATCTAGGGGACATCGGTGTCCCGGGCACCGGGGGCAGCTCCTACCTTCCTCTCGTGTGCATGATGCCACGGTGCCATCTGACCTTGGGATCAGCCACTTCCTTACAGGTGTTCCCATGTTCTTGACATAACTCGTTGCCACGTGCTTGGTTGGTTTACGTGCACAGCAAAATTGTCCTCTGGGGTACAGAAAACTCTGGGTGGACCCTCCTATGCCTGAGGTTCAAGTTATGAATTTCACTTGGCACAGATTTATAGCCCAGTAAATTCTCAATTACAGAGGATGCTGCCTTTATGATGTTATTTGTTCATGACCTTGACGGTCCACGCTACAATGTATATTGTAATTTTGCTCAAGTGTGACTTTAATCACACAGCCTGAAATACTGATGAGCCAGACAGTGTTACTTCTAGTGAGGGGACTTAGCAGTCCCTCAACATTTCTGTCAAAATGTGATGTTGTGACTCTCATGAAGCAAGGAGTCCACTGTTTCAGGCGTGTGCATGGCAGATGTTACTCTAGGAATATCACAGCCCAGTGTCTTTGGGCGTATCAGACTGTCTTAGTGTGGAGTTGGTTCTGATGGGATGATTACGGCCCTGAAAGGATGAAGTAACATTTTCAATGGTTCCTGACTGAATTGTAGGAAAGCCTGTGGCGAGATGCGGGCGCTCACCAGTGTCTCAGGACATATGATGTCTCCCAAATGCCAAGGCTCTCCTCCACTAAACGGCTGTCTCTAGTTGATGAATGGCATCCCCTGACCTCCGGCTGCCTCCCTTCTGGACAAGATCTTTTGTTCTGCTTGAGGCCGTGGACTGTCCTCAAGAGAGACCCACCTTCAACACTCCACTGTACCACATCCCAGTTCGGTAACTTTGGGGATGGGTTCTCTCGGGTTGTTTCCTCGTCCTACAGATGGGGCTGATCATCACAGGTCTTGCTTCCTTGGAACAGTTGTGACATTTAGTTGTCACATTTACACAGGGAAAATGTATAGCACCATGCCTACAACGTAGGAGGGGGGCATGAATGTTCAGCCATCCTTCCTTTCCCACCTGTCGACTGAGCGAAGGGCCCCCTTCCATCTTTTTTCCCCAGGATGTGGCCTTTTCCTCTGGGGCCTCGTGTGCGGCTCTGCTCATCTGTAGCCCTGACCTGCAGTGTTCCTGGTTCTAAGTCCAGGAACTTACAGCTGCATCTCCTATTCTCTTAATTATCTATTCCTCCCGCCCCCATCTTTTAGAATGAGCACTTTTTACAGTTAATGACATTCTGACCACCACTACCTGCTGGACACAGACTCCTCTCCTCCTTGGCCGACCCACTACCCACCATCTTACTGTTTCCATTCTTGACTCACAGTATAAGCTCTCATAGTGAAAAAAAAAAAAAATTCTTTCATTGACTCTACATCAATCACTTAAAAATATGTAACCAATCACATTGGAATTTTAATTCAGATGGTGCCAGTCTATGGTAAGAAAGGGGCAAGAGTGACTCTCAGAGTCACAATCACACATAGGGTTGGGGGTTCTGCCATCATCTTCCAATCCTCGTTGGCCTTCTAATTCGAAAAAGATATCAGCCAGCTTTCTCAGAGTGAGAGGAAGACAGAACCATGTTGATGTGCTTAGACAAAGTTAAATACTGCTGGGAGGAGGGGGTCTCAAATAAATCAATGTGTAAATTTCACATAAAGCACCAGGGAGCAGACACTTGGCTTTACCTCTGTTTTAGCGTCTGTCGCACACCAAATGATGTTGGTCCCATGGCCTTCACCGACACAGAAGCCCCAACCACCAATCACAACGTGTTTCAAAGGCAAAACACCCCAAAGATGATCCGATAACACCCTTCTTTTCTTCCACATCACTGAGAAAACCAGCACACCCTCTTTTGTACTGAGAAGGTGTTGGTGATTGAACCAAGGGCAGAAATCGACCTGGTAACTTAAAAATCCAGATTCACGTCACCTAACAGAATTCTTATACCAAACATATCCTCATCAGACGTTTATACATGAAACAGAATTCTTACCTATAACTTTTCCTAGAAAGAGCGACTTCGGAGAATTGAACAGTGTGTCAGCAGAGCTTGGCAGATGGTAACTCACAGAAGGATAGTGATCGAGCTGCGGGAAGAAAACAAGAGACACTTTCAGAAGACTGTTGCTAACTTGCCCAGGAATCCAGTCTTCCCAGTGGGATGAGTCCCTCTCTGAACCCTGGGGTCTGGATACCTTCCTTCATCGGGGCGGACTCTGAAATACTGGCCTCAACAAACACGAAGCCCGTCTGTTCCTTCTCTGGCGTTATTTGACAACATTCTGAGCTTGGTAAGTGAAGCCTCTTTATAAATTGTTCTTCAGCTTATGCACATTTTCTCTGGATAATCTGTGCACATTTTCTGCTGGATTAAGATCCTTGCTCATTTTAATAGAGTAAAATCTGCTTGATCCGATCTCCAGCATTAACCCTGAGATAGAAAATGCTGCATCTGTAACAATGAACTTTCTTTAAGATCCACTTACTGTCCTGTTGTATTCGCCTTTCCATACCATCAGCTTTCAGACCAATACTGACCTTCAATATGTATATTCAAATATGAATATGAATATATACATAAATATATAGTCAAATGCTGAAATTCAAATTGGGTAAATATACATGGTGGGTTTTGTTGTTTTTCTTTTTTTTGCTTATCAAGAGGATGCCCCCACAGGGCAGGGACATTTGAGCCTGGAAGGGGATAAAGGCACATCTGTTCTAGCTGGGCTGGTTCCTTCCGCGTGGCGGTGAGTTTGCGGTAAGGGAGAGAAAAATGAAACAAGTGCAAAGAGCTTACAGATACTGGCTCCCAGAGCAATGCACATTTCTGATTCAATTTCTCATGTACAAAGTACAGATTCTGGGGGCACCTGGGTGGCTCAGTGGGTTAAAGCCTCTGCCTTCGGCTCAGGTCATGATCTCAGGATCCTGGGATTGAGCCCTGCATCGGGCTCTTTGCTCAGTGGGGAGCCTGCTCCCCCCCACCGCCTCTCTGCCTACTTGTGATCTCTGTCTCCCTGCCAAATAAATTAAAAAAACAAAACAAAACAAAAAACAAAGAACAAATTCTGGTGTCCCAGAATCAGTCTGTCTTGTCCTCTGAGCCCCGACATGGGTTTTCCTGCCTTAGCTGTCCTTTTACAACTCATACAGGCTAGTGGTGTTTCCCCCACTGGGAGCACCTAGAGTTTTCTGTGCCCCTTTGCATCCACTTGTGGAGAATCACTTTTGTAGCTTCTCGCTTTTCTGAGGTGAGTTTTCTACCTGCTCAGGTAAGCATCATGTGCTGTGGGGGGCAGCGGAAGCACTGTGCTCCTTCCCAGCACAGGCAGGCTAGCAGCGGCCTGCTGAAGGCGGCAGCAACGCCCCAGAAGCCGGACCCACTCCCGGGTCCTTGCTAGTAGCCGCTGAGATGGGCAAAGCTGTGGGAAGCTGGGCTGCTGGAAACAGTGCTGGGAAGTGAGCTCATCTCACTGGCCACATGGAGAACGGGCTTCCTGGAGGAAGGCTCCTTCATCGTGACTGCCTATCTCCACCTGACTCCTGAAGTGGCTTACGAGAAACCGAGAGGTTATTGAAAGCAGGGGGCGGGTGCGGTCAGAGTCAAAGACTTATCCCATCTCAGGAATTTCGGGGACATCTGACCCGCAGAGCCAGTACCGTTAAGTTATGGTATAGCATTGTAACAGGTTCAAAAAACACTGTGAAAGCAAACACTGGTATGATCAAGTATAATTCTGAGAAGTTTTCTATAATTTTAAGTGCATCATTAACAAAACCCTTATTCTGGCCAGAGAAGCTTAGATATTTTAAATCTCATCAAGTTGCTACTCCGGGCGTTAAATATTAGCTAGCTACTTTGGCGCCATCTGGTGGTGTATATGGGAAACTGCCGCTGTCGCTCCGCTTCTGTGGCCAAAAAGTTTTTGTGGTCAAAAAAGATAACCATAGAATGCCAACATAATAGGTTACTCTGAATGCTTCACAGCCATGATTTTTCCCTAAATACTTTTTATACTTTTATCTGTCTTGCTAAAGAACTTAAAAATGGATACAAACAATATATTGTCATTATAGAGAAAATAATAGTATAGATTTACTGAAAATAACCCCCACCTGGTCATATTAGTTTTTTTTAAATATTTTATTTATTTGAGAGAGAGAGAGAGACAGAGCATAGAGGGAGAAGGAGAAGCAGACTCCCTGCTGAGCAGAGAGCCTGATGCGGGGCTCAATCCCAGGACCCAGAGAGCCTGACCTGAGACGAAGGCTGTCACTTAACCGACTGAGCCACCCAGGTGCCCCGATAATTAATTTTTTATCAAGTCAACTTTTTAATGTATATTCTTTTGATTTTTTACAACAACTGGATGGAACCCAACTACATACATTGTTTTGCATTTACTTTTCCTTACTTAAAGACGTATTGTGAAATTCTGTGATTCGATAAACAACTACATCATTTGTCATGAATGACTGGTATTCCATTTTATGAATGTACCGAACTTAATCTTAAAAACTCTAAAATTTCAGTGCTTAGACTTTTAGATTTCTTGTGTCTTTTGGTCCAGTGTAGTGTCAAGCACATAGTAGGTCCTCAGTAAAACTGTGCTGACATATATTCGAGGAACCAGTAAAGCAGTAGGCACAGTGAAATCAGTCCCGGATGTGGCCTGACCCACCAGCGGGGTTACCTTCCTTTCCTTAACTGTTTGTACGGATCCAGACCAGACAGGCTTGGCTTTTGGGCAGCCATTAAATAATGTTTGTGCTGTGCTCACAATGAAGTAAATTCCTACTTTTGTCTCCATAGGTTACTTTCAACTCTTCCCATTCCTACATATACGCAATTGAGAACCTGGACCAAAAGCTAAAATTTACATTTATTTACATTAAGTTTGTTTTGTTTCAAGGCAAAAGTTTTTGAATCTTGATTCTGCCATTTAGAATATCGGGGATCCTGCCTGGTTCTGATCTGTAAACGTCTCAAACTCCCCTAAGTCTTAATTCATGCGGGAAGGGAGGTCCGCCCCAGCCACAGGCCCGGGGTGTGATCGGTCTGTGACCGTGCAGCCCCGTGACAAGCCCTCTAGATGCGAAATAAGAGGCCCTAGGGACTCCCCCGCACCCCCGCACCCCCGCGGCCCACGTGTTGCCGGAGGCCTTCTGGCTCCTGCCACATGCGCATGTGCACACCGCCCGCTGCCACGCGCCCGCATCCCCACCCGCACCCCCGAGGCTGGCTTACTGCTTATCCAGCAACCAGACCAGCTCCAGGGGGGCCAAACCAGAACCCTCTGCTATCTGGAGGAAGGAACCAACATGCCTTCTCCAACGACGTCGGATACCTCCACGTTTGTCCTTGCGGGGGGCCCCCTCCCTCAGCTCAATGCGGGCTCAATGAACTTCTACTGGAGCTTCCCTCTATCAAGAATATTCCGTTATTGTAGTTAATTCTTGTATCCAACACCCCATGTTTAACCAACTGCGTGGTTTCTATCTCTGATTGGACCTAGACATCTCTTCTAGGAAAGGAGGAAGCAGGTATTGAGCAACTACTGTATGCACCGGTTGCTAGGCTTTTCACATCTTACTGTATATTGGCTCGGTGTTCCCTTCTGGTAATACAAAAAGCATCCAAAGTCAGAGCAAGTGGCAGAACCGTGTTCTAACCCAGCTACATCTCGCTGCAGAGACCAAATGGGAAGCAGCCAGCGCAGTCTCCAGAACCAGCCCAAGCATCGAAACTCGCAACTCGGGAAGAGGCTCCCGGGCTTTTCATATTTACATTTGAAGGAGAAACTGCAGTAAATCAGATAAGGCAAGAAAAGCGCATCCTGCAGAAGCCTAAGGACACGTGTCACTGTATCATTTCCCTCCTGTTGCCAGGGGGCCGCCTCTTTCCGAATGAGCCCCGGTGCATTCGCCATGGTTAAGTGTAATAATTTCAAGTTAATTTCTTTGGGGTCCGAGTGAGCTATTTTGCTGTACATTTAGCTGGTGGTCATTTCACTGGCAGTTAAGAGGCAATAAGAGATTGTGTAATGGAGGCCCATTAAAATTAAAGACTGCGACTCTGTGAGCCCCCGAGACCTTAAGGGAGCACTAATTGGTTCGGCATTAACCAGGATACTGACTCAGGCTGGGGCACGCGTCCTACACATTGAGTCGAGAGCTTTAATGTTTGTTCAGGTATTATTTCACCATTTTGGCTCATTTCCATTTTGAAGCCACAGTTGGCCTGGGCGGGGCTGGAAGGGATGTCACCAGCCTTGCTGATGATCTGGGGGGACACGGAGGAGCCGGGAAGGAACGGAGAAGAGAGACTGAGCAGCCTGGACTCAGTGTCCCCGCAGGAGGCGTCTGCCCCACCAGATATGAAGTGACACAAAATATTGCCCCAAGGGCGAGGGCGTGTTTCCGGGGCTCTGGACAAGGGCCAGGGATGTCCTGCCTCATTTCCTAACCCTTTGTTTTGGGGACTACGTGGAATTAGCTCAGACACACTGAATTCAGAGCAGACCATCTTGATGGATGTTTTTATTCCCCGCTGAAGGCCGGCCAAGAGGAAAGGCCACTGCGAACAGACATCAGGGGCGAAACAACCATCAGCTCATCTCATCCCTGACCCGTCTCTCCCCCTCCCTACCCTCCTGAAATTCCCCTGGATATTACAGGAGAAAGAGTTTGAAGAACAGGGACCATCCTTTCTCTCCCACCTTAACCTCATCCTGCCTTGAGGGGTGGGGGGAGGGTCCACAGATGGGTCCCTCAGGGCTCAGCTGTTCACAGCCAAGAAAGGGAAAGAGCAGGGCACAAGCCCCACCCCAGGGGTTCAGTCACTTAAGTGTTTTGTGCCTCCTGACTCCCACTCACTGGTCCCGTGAATGGAGAAGACACAGTAAACGTACACGAGAGTAGGCGGCAAAACAGTGGCGTTTTCATGGGTTTGCCACCAGCCACGGGGCTGTAGTCTGTCCTTTCCTGTCCCCTGGCTAGATGGTGACTCTGTGAGGACAAGGACTGAGCTCTGCCCCTCCACCTGGCCTGCAGCGGCTTCAGAAACCCAGAGCAGTGGGCTGAG